GTTACATTTTGTGTCTGCTCCATCCGTCTGCAGCTACCCAGCCAGGTTCCCTGTTTGTTTCTGTCTCTCAAAAATACCAGGCAAATTTTCATCATGAGACCACAGAAACAGCAGCTGGGTGGTTTCAGGCAGGTGAGGTTCTGAAATGAAAACCGATGGGGTTGTCCCGTTGAGGGCTTGTCTTCCCAAGAAAGCAATTCTGGAGTAAGAGTGTATGAGTTTAACACACAAGACCTATTCCAGAATAATTCTGTGTGGACAGGGCCGACGTTTTTTCCTTCCCTGTGGCCTCGGCAGAGTATCTTTGTTCTTGGGAGAGCATCGAGCCTGGACTTGGGGGCAGTCCCTCCAGTCGTTCTGCGGAGCTGCTGGGCGCGTGGCGCCGCTGCTGCGGGCGGACGGTTGCTCCCTCCGTTGCTCAAAATCCAGCCCTGAAGTTTGACGAGAAGAGAGCGGATCGTCCCTCCGTGTTTGTTCCTCTCTGTCCACAAAGTCTTCGCTGCAGTCCACGAGGTCCGGGTTAGGTTAGGTGCGCTGTCACAGCCTGATGATGCTTGACGTCCCTAATTCTCCCGCCTATGGAGGAAGCAGGTGCGGGGGGACAGCATCCCTTCACATGATAATGTTTTATGACTTTTATTATTTAGAACAACAATCCCCTCTCATTGCTCCTGGGCAGTAAACCTCTTTCTTTAATAACCAGAGACTGGCTGCCTCTCCGTAGGACTCTCCAGGTCAGTGCCGGTAGCAGTAATGTTATTTCTCTTCAGAACTAATGTGGTCTTTTATGAGATTTTCTCCCCCCCTTCATTTCAGCTGAACTTTAGGCAAGTAGAAAGGGATTAAAATAAGGCCCATGGCAAAAGGAACTGAATGTGCTGCTTGGAAAGAGGGTTTCCTGCTGTGAGATGTCTCTGGGCAGCTGGCTATTCCCACCATATTAAAACAAAGGTGTAGGAACTGAATTTGATCAGCTCACGTAAGCTGGGACGGGACCCGGAATGCTACACGGTGAGTTATTACAGCAAGAGATTGCATGGCCCCACAGGCAGCGTTTTGAAAAGCGATGCTAGAGAGATGAATTTGAACAAAGTACCCCTGTCATCTTGGAAGTGTACGTACACAGTAAGAAATGATGTTCTAGGTGAGTTTGCCTGTTAGGATGTTGGATGGCCAAGGAAGAGCACGAGTTTACAGGGGCTCTGGTATCTCTGTCCCCACGGATGCTGCTCTGTGCCCACGCTGGGTGGAAGCAGGAGCTGAGGAGTATCCGTCTCCTGCTTGTATCCCTGCTTCTGCCCCAGGAACTCCTTTGGGGACATCGGGCTGCTGGGGTCTCCTGATGGAAACTTTCTCCCCAGGAGGAGATCCTGGCTGCGGGTGGTGAACCTCGGGGCAGAGCTGGAGGGAACCGAGACGAGTGTCCCCAGGAGCTGGGGCCCACCGGCACAGCCGCACCGGTGCCCGATGCCCCATTTCAGGCTGAGTCCAGCCATCACATTGCGTGCTTAATATTTCCACACTTCTTCAGCGGCAAGTGGATGTGTTGGGGGTTTTTTTGGCACTTGCCAGCCCTTGCCCAGTGAATTGTCTTTGGATGAAGCCCTCCAGGTCTTTCATGACCTGATGCAGTACAAGACGGAGACGTTACCGCTCCGAGGGCTTCACTGTAACACACACACGGCGGGTTTATTGTTCTCCCTGCCCAAACGGGGGGAAGGCAGAGCGGTCCTTTCGGCAGGAAGAGTGCCCTCGCCCTCTGAGTCAGCTTAGGGCCTTTTCCTTGCTGTTAATACAAAGGGAAGCCTGTGGGAGCTGCGACGGGGACTTGCAAACATCTTCGGGTAAATGGACTCCTGCCGTAAATGTCATGTTACCTACCCAAGGACATGAGAAATGCTCGCTCTCCTCTAGAACAGGGTATTGAAATGAAAGGACCGGGTGTCCTTTGAAGGCTGGTGGTGTGTCGCCCTTCTTGCACTCCGGGGCGTTTGCAGACCCCCCGGACCGTGCCGGGCTGCCGCGGGTTCAGCGCCGTAACGTTGGGGCCGGCCGGGGGGGGGGGCTCTTGGGGAGGCTCTGCACGGGCGGTGCTCATCCTGCTCTGCCAGGGCTGCTTCCAGCAGAGATCTCTCTCATCCCTTCCGCTGTGATTTCAAACGAGAGTCTCTAATTAATGACATCTCCCCACTTAGCTCTTGATACACAGGCAGATGCTGGGCCTTTTAGGGCTGGTTTGAGACCTGCAGCGCTCCCTCCGTACAGTGCAGCATCTGGTGGAAAATGTTCCTGTTACTGACTGGGGTTGGATCTGATCGGCCGTTCAGGAGTAGAAGACGTCCTGGGAGCGGGTCCTGCCGAGGCAAGAACCTGACAAATAACCTCCTGCCTAAGAAAAGTCCCGTTAATTTTAGGATTCCCAGAGGCATACGGCAGAGCATGGAGGGATATAAATACGCATTTGCTGAATCTGGTGAGAACGTAATATGTTCTCATAATATAAAACTCCCCCTTGGTAATTCTTCGTATTGCACATCTGCACTCCCACCCGCAGCCTTGCAGCTGCAGTAGTTTTAAATGAAAAATAGACTTGTTTTGTTTTGTTTAATTTTAACAAAAATTCTTAGGCCAGCGTGAAGCAGTCCAGCTCGGTGATGTACGTGTGTTTATTACAGTACGTAGTTCCTGAGTTGTGGGTTTAGATGATCAATATTTCTGTTTGTCCACACAAGAATGCAAGCCTCAGCTTGGTTACTTACCTTTTCTAATTTCTTGTGTAAAATATGGAAATAAGATTTACCATTCGTGCCTTGATTCTGGGCTTATCGGGGCTTGGTGAGCACTCTGTATTGTCAGTTCTCGAGCTGCTGGATATTAGTTCTGCACTCGGCGTCCAGAGGTAACTTCATCAGTCTGCCTGTATTAGAGTTAATTTACAGTACCATTCAGAGGAAAAGGATATGGACCCTTTTCTGTGAAAATAGTGTAAAATTGCCACAAAGTACTGGGAAACAACTGTGCTCGGTTCCTAAAGATCAATTTATTCACCACAGAGATGTGGGGTGAGCGGGCAGTTTAGCGAGTCCCTAATGGGGTAGAGAGCCTTTTGCTTCAAAGCCACCGCTTCTGATCCAGCACAGGGCTCTGCTCACCCTGGGCTTTTAACATCTGAGGGCTGGTGGTTGTCCCCGAAGAAAAAGATTGCGGTGTGTCATCTGTTTGTCTGCAGACGCCTTAACAGGTATCACCGCAGCTGGTCCTGGCTGGAGACTCTGCTGTCACTTCACCCTCGGGCAGCGTGTCCCCGGGCTGGTTGTCCTGCGGTGCTGCTGGGGAGCAGGGATGGCCTGCAGCCTTCAGAGCCCTCCATTTAGCGGGCTCAGCTGGAGAACCCAGCTGCGGGCTGGCCCTTTATCACCTGGGCATTCGTCGATGGCGTGAATCTTAATGGCAAATCGAGAGAAGCACCTGTTTATCTTCCGCTGCTGTTTATCTTAGAGTCTCCTTTGGCTGCTTTCTAGATTCAGCTTGGCGTGCGATTCACTGGAAGCTATGAATTTTGCATGCGCTATCGACATTTCTCTGTGTTTTGGTCAGCCTTATTCTCGAGAATGACAAAACTCAACACACAAAGCAAGCTGAGAGTATACTGGGAGCATTGTTGTTTTGCTCATAAAAGACCGTGCTGAGAATATCTCAAACTCCCCCTATTTCTGTCATTCCATGCCTTTGAAGAAGGCATCGTACTCTCTTTGTAGACAGAGGGACACGTGGTCTCTTTGGAAGACCCTAAAGTGCTTGCCAGAGGTTTTAAAGGTCAGAGTTACTGGGATCAGAGCTTTTGTCAGCTGGCTGGCATAGGAACATTTTACATGGTGCAGGCTATAGAGAAGGCAACTGCTCCCTTTGCTCTCAAGTTATTTTTTCCCTTGCCACTTTATGGTTTTGCTCTGTTTTCCCTGGGAGTTCCTAGCTATCTTTCTTGGGGTTTTTTTTTTTTTTCCCCTTGAGCTCTCTGGTTTTGCTTTAAGAGTCACAGCACCATTGATTGTATTGGCTGTCTCAAAAGTGGTGTGCTGCTTGCTGTCTGTGGGCTCCCTGCTGCTAAATGCTGCCAGTGGGACTCCAGAGCATTTAGATCAATCAATAGGGCTGTCACGGCCTTATCGTCCACACTGTCCCCATCCCGGGGATGTGGGTAACAACTGGAGAGAGCGCACGAGCCCTCGGGTTGTTGGTTACAGAGTGCGGATCCACGCGCTGGCTGCATCCGCAGTACAGATGTGTGTACAGATGTGTGCATTTTGGTGGGGAGAAGGGTACCTACGCGCAGGGATGGCGGCCGCGCTGGCAGCGCCAGCCGCTCCCCGGGCACGCGCTGTACGCTCTGAGTGAATCTGGGGTTTTGGAAGGATCTGTCATGAATTCCTCCCCGTTTGCAGGTAACTTCCTTCTGTCAGTAGGGACCGGGTGCTGCGAAACAGCATGAAATGAGGTAGGATGCTAACGGGATCTCCCACGCGCCCGCAAACCCGGTCCAGTGCTGGCAGGCGGAGCTCAGTGCTGCCAGAGCTCAGCACCGGGTGCTGCGGACCCGGCTGCGGTACTGGGGAGCACGGTAGCTCATGCTGGGGCCAGCCGGCCTCCCTGATCCACTCACATTCCAATGCACCTGGAAAGTCTCACGCAGCAGGCGTGATGGCCGTTTACAGACATACTCAGCTGTGCCGAGACGCGCGCTCTGCAAACCTCTAATAATGTAGTCCTGACTGCGTTGAAGTTTGGAAAAAACGTTTTCACTGAACGTACAGCCTGTAATAGAACCTGCTCGCCAAATTATAAATGGGACAGTGTAGCAGTCCCGGCTCTTCTGGGCCCTTGGTTACTTGATGGCAAAAAATTCCCAGGAATATTCTGCAGTTCTTGCTAACAGATGGGCTAAATAATTTCTCTGGGAAGGAAAGCATCCACTGATACCATTACATTTTTCCTCTAGATCCCATCTAATGCCGAGGCTGAAAGAATCGCGCTCCCACGAGTCTTTGCTCAGTCCCAGTAGTGCTGTTGAGGCTCTGGATCTCAGCATGGAGGAAGAAGTGGTCATCAAGCCCGTCCACAGTAGCATCCTGGGACAAGACTACTGCTTTGAGGTAAGGAGCCTTTGCGTCCGTCCCGGGAGCCATTCCTGCCACACGACGGCGCTGGCTGGGGAGCCAGGTGTGGGGTTGCATCTGGGGCTTTCGCTCTTATAAAACATTTCTGCTCTGAATTGCTGCACAGAGACTGTTTTATAGGCAGAAAATTACTTCCGTCCTTCGAAGGAGGATCGTACCCACAAAATGAGAGCAGTGAGCTCTTTGCCTTGTAACCGCTGTTGCAGCAGAGCTTGCCGCTGGCGAAGGTGCTGAAGCACTTAAGGCTGTGTATTAGCAGAGCATAAATTTGTAGTTTATGTTCATACAGATATTGGAAAGTGCTAATCCCTACTCAGTGTTCACAAAGACGTTATATGTGGTCACAGAGATAGCCTGCTGTTGTCAGTGGGAGTGTTGAGGACTTGGTCTAGAAAACTGAAGCTTCGCTTGTTTGGGTAAATAGAAAAATCTGTGAGTGTTTCAATTTTTTTTAACATCTGTTATGGCATGTGGTTAGGTCTGTACTAGCAGGAGGTGGTAGGACACATACAAACCAGTCTGTAGTTGTATAATTCAATGTAGTACGTCTTGGGAATCATTTGTCCTGCATCGTGGATGGCAAAGTATTATTGCTTATGGCAGTGGCTGGATATAGAACTGGGAAATGGTTTTCTTACAGTAATAAGGTGGTCGATACTTGCGTTTCTGTGAAGAGAAGTAACCTGTTTGTACTTGGGCATAGAAGAGCAGGTAGACCGTATATCCATGGTGGGATCGTACTGTAGGGGGGTGATGGGACCGCAGGCTTTCCTTGGAAGGGCAGCGCTGCGTAAAGATGGCCTTGGCAGCGTCCAAGAGGAGTCAGACTGGAGAGAGGAAGATTTTTTTTCTTTACTGAAATTAGCACACTTGGAAAGAAGTGAGTTAAAAGATCCATTTTTAAAAATATAAGCAGGTAACACAAAAACAGTCTTGCAAAAACCAGGCCCAGACATAAACTCTGAAGTGGGCTGAGGTATAAATTTCCCAGTGCTGTTCATTCTCTGTAGAACTGAGCAAGTGCAGCAGGTCAGGAGGAGAACAGTTTTGTAAATTATATGGCCTCTATTACATTCCACTCAAGAAAGATAAAATGAAGCTAGATGGAAAATAGATGTGACATCCATAATATAAGAGTTGTTTACCAATTCTGTTCAGCACACAAGAGCAGAGGAAGGGATATGAACAGTACTTGTAGAAAGTTGACTGAGAAGGAAATTACACAAGTCATGCACTTGTAAGGAGGAAGAAAATTTTATTTCTAAGTGAGTTGGATAAATAAGAGTCATACAGGAAAAAAAGAACATGTTAATTGCTGTTCTGCAAATCCTGCAGAGGAAAGGAAGAACGCCAGAAAACAAAAGGGACGTTGATTTGTAACTGATGGTTACAACAAGCTCCAGCGGGAAGGACCGAGGTGAGAGCTAAATGGCGTATCGTGTTAATGCGTTGGTCTGGTATCTCCAGAGAGCCTCTTTCAAATTCGGAGTGAGGTCAGCACTGAAATGAGTTTGCAGATCTTCCAGGATCCCTGGTGGGTATCAGGCCGTGACCACGGTCCGTCGTGCACTTAGGTACAAGTGCTGGAAGCAAAGGGTTAGCGTTGCCTTTGGGCAGCGCAGGGCTGGAGGGACGAGCCCGGGCAGAGGAGCGGTGCGTGCTGGGGTGGGATGGGCGGCTGCTGCTGGCCCCTCCGCACCCCCGCGTGCATTGGCACAGACAGCTTTGTCACACAGTTCTCCACGTCAGGCAATAGTGAAAGCCACACCAGCAACTTCTCTTCCTCGGTGCTTGAATGTTGCCTTCAGTTATTACCGTGTCCTGAAGGTCCCATCTGTGGCCTGGGATCCTGAGCCCTTCAGCGTTGCCTTACCTGAAAGTACAGGCAGGACTTGGCAAAGACTGCTGCCGCTTTTCAGTAGAAGCTCGGCAAAGAGCAGTAAAACCTGCGGTAGTTCCTGTGGCCAGGAACTGGGAAAGCTCTGGCTGAAGCCTGCACGAGGCTGAAAGGAAAACTGTCATGGCCAAGAGCCATGAGACTGCTGCGTGTGGGAACACTGAAGATTGAGAAGCTCAGCTGACGTCCTGGAAGAGGAGCCCTGACCAAGAAATGTCAAGTGAGAAGTTACTGACAGTCACGGAGACAAGGGGAACGTTTTATGCGCAGCGGATCGCGAAGGTGCTGCGGGTTGGTAATGGTGCCTTGTCCCTGCGCTTTGATGCCATGGTGGATCTGTTCTCTAGGGAGATCTGTCAGGAATGGCCACGTTTGCCGTCTCAAATTGAGAAGCGAAGCGTTGCCGTTGGGCAGTGCCAGCCTTACACGGTTCTTAAGTGTCTTCTCCTTGTGGTGGGGTGGCCGAGCAGGGGACAGTGCCTAGGAAGCAGCTTCCATCAGCAGCTGGCTGGTGTCTGTTCTCATTTGGGATGTTGGTGCTTGGTTGGCCGGGCAGGCTCAGCACGCTCTTTGGGGTCCCTCGCCGACAGCAGCGTGCAGCAGCTTTTCCAGAAGCTGACTGCGGTCCAGGCTGCCCAGCACGGGCAGCGCGAGGTACGGCGTGCCACACGCCCTCCTCCACCGAGCTGCAGCAGCGGCCTCGTGGCTTGGAGAACAGGACGGCAGGATTTGACATGGCTGCAGATGGAGTCGCGCTGAAGAGAGCAGGTTCAGAGAGAGAACTGGCAGCGCACCCAAACGGAGACAAAAGCAAGAGGCGCCAAAGCCATCTGCAGTGGAAAAAAACCAAGTGGCTCGTTTGGAGGGAGCTGGCTGTACGAAGGTGCAGTGCAATTGTTCCTCTCCTTTAGCTCGACTGACCTGCATTAAGACGTGCCGAAGCCGACGGCTCCGCCCTGCTCCCCCTCAGTTGGGCTCTGCCGGGGGGAAGGAGAGTCGGCAGTAATGCAGTGCTTTTTCAAACGCTGCATTTGGCTTTCTCTGCTTATTTGGTTCTATGAAACTTGCTTTTTTCTGACTTGCTGAGTACTTGGCAGTCAGTATCTACTTATTTTCTACATTGATTTTTTTTTTTAAAAAAGTTACTCAACATCATCTTCTTTCTCCTTATACGACTTCCCAGTCAGCCTAATCATCTAATGCCACTGCACGTGCTGCGGGTGCTAAATAGACGGTGGGCATCTCAGTCCAGTGAAGGAGCCTGGGAGTCCAGGCTCCCAGAGCCTGTTCCTGGCTCTGCTGTTCGTGGGGTCCTGGTGACGTGGGCCAGGCAGGGGAGTTGGGACCGAAGGGCTCTGTTACTGCCTTGGCCGACCAAAGTCTTGTCCGGTTGCACAGCTCGTGTCTGGGCTGTCGCAGGACATAGCTGGGGGATGGAGCAGGAGCAAGAAAAAGCTACTGCTGGACTGTACTTGCTCCGCTATAACCGAAACCGTGTCACCTTGTCCTGGCCTTGCCTGAGCAAGGGAGAATTTAGTGGAGCTAAATTTAGCTCCCCTAAATTTAGTCCAGCTGTGCAAATGCTTGCCGTGGCTCACACGGCCCTTCAGACGCCCTGAGCAGCCGTCGCAGGGCTGCGGGGCAGGCCCGGGCAGCGCCGGTTTGCCCTCCTGCACTTGGTTATGGTGGTATTTACCAGCTTGAACCCTAACTTTTCCTTGTAAAATCTTTTGAACACTTTGAGTAAAGCAGCCTCAGTAACTGAGTTCTCATCTTCTGTTGTTACTCCGGTGCGATCCCTTCAAGTGTACTTTGAGGAACCCGTGCTGTACCTAAGACATTCTTAAAATGACAAGGTTTTATCTGACTTCAGGGATCGCCCATCCAAGGCCTGTGGATAATGAATGTGAATAAGCAACATTTTAGAAATGAATGCGTTTTATTAATTAAGTTTATCCTGTACATTAATAGTACTCTAGCGTGTCCAAAATCTTGATGAGACCAGAATACTCTCTTTACCAAGAGAATTAATACCTCATGAAGATCATTAATGCCATATGATGCTTAGGTCAGAGCTCAAAGCTGGGATGTTATTGCAGGTCTGGGGAAAATTACATTTTTTGGTCACACATGGTAGATGCGACCTTCAACTCCCATCAGATCAAGAGGGCTTCATGTCTGCCACATGAGGATTTTCCCATTCTCTCACTTAAGTATGAGGGGTTTGAGTGATTAGTTAATTGGTAATTGTTTTGGAATTGAATCATAAAATTTAGCATGGTAAGTCAACATACTATCATTGAGTTAAGTGTGGCAAGAAAATGTATGGCGTATTCAACCTCACAGAGAGCTGGTAAAAACCTGACATTTAATTAACAGATTCAGTGGAAGGACAGCTAAATTGCATGCTTATTTATTTGGATATGAGTCCTCTAGGCAGCTGTGGGATCCATGTGTATCACCAAGGAGAACTTGTCTTTAAGAGAGCATCTTTCAACAGCAAAGAAGTCATAATTCTCTTTTATGGAAGAACTTCAGGTTTCCTACCAGATTCTCTAGATCTGAGAACATTGTTTTCAAATGCATTTGTACACCAAATTCCCCTCAAAACAAAAGAGCGAAACAAAAAGCTAGGTGAGAAACGGCCTTTGAGGAAGTGGACTAATGGGATAGTTTGCTGAAAGGTGTATTTAACCTATTCCCCTTCATTAACTGGGGACTGCATTTTGTGAACCTTAGCCAGAATGTCAGTGGGAGAGTATTTCCCAATGTGGGGTGTAGAAACCTGACCATAACACATGCGGGGCAGTGTGGCTATACCAGTAGTGTCAGGACCTTGATGGTTTGGACTTGAAAATGGATGATTTTGAGTCTTCCGCAGCTGAATTAGATGGGCCAAATAAGACAGGGCTCAAGTTCTGGGTTGTTAGGTTCTTATCTGAAGAACAGTTTTGAAGCCTTAGAAATTCACGTCAATCAAGCAACTAGGGAGCTGTCTGGAGCAACGCTCATTTGCTGTGCATCTTCCGTGTTTCTTCACTGTAAGTTCTATTCTTAAGAACTGTTGCTAAGTGGTACTTCTGGGATCTTCGTATTTGTAATTCAGTGGTAAGGCAGTACAGCACCATGTTGACGGTAATGCAGCCGTGCGTTGCTCCTCTTTAGGTGTCATTACCAGCTAGGTGTATGTCTGCGCTGGGTTTGAATGCTGTTGCAGGAACTCTCACTGAGAAAAGGATCAAGATGCAAAACTGCTGCTGTTGCAGGAACTCTCACTGAGAAAAGGAACAAGATGCAAACCTGCCATACCCTCTGGCAGAGCAAGGTGTAGCGTGTGTCCACGCAGTGGACACAGTCTTCCAAGTGATCCATCTCTTGTGCCACCAGAAGTGAAGGTTTGGGGACGGAGGTTCACGCGAGCGTCTGTGCAGCAGCAAACTGGAGTTGAAGCAGGCCAGATTTGTAATGGGAAACTTTGAAGAAGCTGGAAATACACTGAAGCATGAAAGGATGCTGAAAAGACCATACTACTGGAGTCTCCTTTTCATGGAAATAGAAGATAATTTCTGCTCAGAAGAATATGTAGTTTTACAGGACAGAGGATGAAAGTGTGTAAGGACAGGGAAGAGTGTCTGCCTGAAGGAGAAAGCTTCTGGGATATCAAGGGTTGGAAGAGTTCTTGCATTTGCTGTGTAAAGACAGGATAGACCTCTTGTCATTTTGTCCTGGTTAGAAGATGTCTGTGTTCAAAAGGAAGGGATGTGTTCAAGTCATGATTGAGGTTAGCTAATGACAAATCTTAGCAAGTGCCAGCTCTGCTCTAAGAACAGGTTAGGCTTCTGAGAGATACATGAAATTAAAGGAGATTGTGTCTCCCAGAAGCAGATAACCCAGCGAGCAGTGTGTAAACACAAAGACTGTGAGATGATAAAGTACTCGGAAATAATTCTGCAGCTTGAGACTGGCAGACATGAAGCTCAGAGGGGAGTTATTTAAAGTACTAGCCAGGTCCATTTGGCCTGCAAGCAGAGACGTACATAAAGACCATACTGGACATCAAATGCAGCAAACGCAAAGAAGGGCAGAGCAGCTGGTGGAGGGCTTTATGGGCAGTGCAGAGCTCTGGTACCACGGTCATGGTCTGTCAGCGTGCCAGCAGGGCCTGGAGGAGATAGTGGCTTGAGGGATACATCTGCATGAGAAGACACAGAGAACTGTTGGCCTCTAAGACCAATAATTGATGCCGAGGAAGTTTGGTGTGGTGGATAGGAGGAAATGTTTGGTGCCTCTTATCCTGGGGCTACCAGGCAGCGGTGGCTTTGGTGGGCTCTCAACAGGCTTGAGTTACCACGTGGTCGCAGGGATGTGATAAGGAATGAGGGGCATTTGCACCACTGGAAATGTCACTGCTGCAAGTCTGCTTCTTCAAAACCTGGCTGTGAAATCCCAGTGGGCAGAGAAAGTCACACAAATACTGCAGAAGCGTGAGAGGAGGGGGCAGCAGCACTTCGCTGGCCAGCTCCAGGTCCGGGAGCCCCAGCCTGGTTCTCCGCAGCTGGGGAGCCGGCGCTGCGAGCACCGGAGTGCCTCCGGCCGGGCTGCGAGCTCCTGCTCTTACTGCTGCCAGGGCTGTGGTGTATGTACTTGGCGCCAAGCTCTTCGCAGCATGGTCTTCAGAAGCAACAGGACACGAAGGGGGAAGGTATGAAGCTAGCCTTTCCGGGCCTGACGTTCTGCTGAAAACAAGGAATGGGTTGTTACTGTCGCAGGCTTTGGGTTGAATCTGGAGGAACGCCAAGTGGTTGCAATTTATCTTTAGTTCATCTAAGGATTTGCCCTCTCTCAGTTGTGGAACTTGGTGGTTTAAAGCGTCACATGCATGGGGCCCATTATCTAGTGTTTTCTGGTGTGGAAGAAGAGAAGTAATTGGAATTTGCTTCTATGATTATTTCTGTGACATACAGAGTCGCCCTGTTTTTCCGCTAGCCTTAGGGGCTGTTGCTTCATGCTTGGGTAAAGCTGTTTACTTTAAAAAAAAAAAAAAAAAAAAATCCACTAGCATCTTTCCTAACTCCCCTTCTCCCCCCAGATCACAGTCTGCAGTGTGCTGGTCAAGACATAATCCTGTTCCTTTCCCTGTAGGTGACGACTTCATCAGGAAGTAAGTGCTTCTCGTGTCGTTCTGCAGCAGAGCGAGATAAATGGATGGAAAACCTGCGGCGTGCCGTGCACCCAAATAAGGTAGTGGCTTTGAGGAATTGCCTCTGTTATAGTTCAGTTCCTCGTTATTACATTTTATAGCCCAGTGCATAGTAGCAGCAGGGGACGTATTGTCATTTTAGTGAGTAAGTGTAACTGTGGGTCAGCCTTTTTCCATATTGCTTTCTTCCACAATTAGATTTACAGGCAAGTGCCAATTATTTCTTCCCCTCTTTTCTCAGCACATGCCGCTTCAGCTGTTGCTAAGAATTGATCAGACCTGAAGAATCTTCAGTCTTGTTCTATTACTGATGATACTTGCCACTTATGTAGGACTTTCCACCTCCCAAAAGCTCTGGGACAGATGTCAGGTTGCTGCCAGCAAAGTTACAAGACTGAATAGTCTAAAGAGTTCACATATCACACTTCTGACTCTGGTAGTACTTGCTGTGTCTACTTTAGCGATGGAGAAACTCAGGTGCCCGTCGCAGCGAGTTCTCTGAGGCGATAGTGGAACGTAGCTTTCCCTTCTCCAGTCAGCTGAGGTGGCAGAGTCATCCCCTCTGGCATCTACAGAAACAAACCCTTCTCTTCACTAGAGCACAGGGACACCCAATACGCAGTTTTATGGCTCACTAAGACTGAGTACATCCTAAAATAAAATCTACAGCTGCTTCTCCATCACTGCATTGGAGTTAGCTAAAATAAAATCTACAGCTGCTTCTCCCTCTCTGCACTGGAGTTAGCTAACAAAGATTGATCAGGATTAATCAGCTGCAGGATTTCACAACTGATGAGCTCAATCAACAAGTCTTTTTCTGCTGATCGGAGGAAACACAAATGATGGGATCCTGTGAATTCATTCCTGGCATCAGAGCCACAAAACTGCATACAAGTTAGGTCCAGGCCTGGCGGGTTGCTGAAGGAGCCCTCTGTGTCGGAGTTTATTGTTCCCAGCTCAGTGCCAAATGTCAGTATAAAAGATTTCCTTCAATATCAGAACGGGAGCAGCGGAGGGGAGAGGTGAACTTCTGCCTCTAGCAGCGTGTTCCTGCCTGCGGAGCTGAGTGACTCCGGTGCTTTCTGAGTGCAGCAGCCTGGTAGTAATGGTCTGAAAGAGCTGTGTAAGGTGTGCATGGTCACACTTACCATGAGAAAAGTCCCGGGAATGTGAGTTGGGGCTGGGCACGTCACTATGGCTTTGAGATGCAGTGTTCAGTGGAAATTCATTTGGAAGTGTGCCCTCATCTCGAAACATGCCATTAGCTGATGGCTAACTTTCTGTCTTTGTTTGAGTTCATAGACAATAAACCCTCAGTATCTGACTTGACGTTTCTGTCAGGAATTCAGTGTTCTTGTGTAGTTCCTGTGTGCACTTCCTGAACCTACACTACCCCATTGTGGGCTTCCAGCAGAAATGTTCCTGCCCAGACTCCTAGGCTGAGCAGAGTTAAGCCATGGTTGCTGTTTCAGTGAGGGGTTTCCAAACACAACAGGTTACTGCAGAATCCCTCGCAGTGGTTCAGCTGCGAGTGCTTTATCTTTCAAGTCGCTCCTGCAACAGATGCCCCTGGATGTTCTTCCAGGATGAGGTCAGCGGCACTGGGGAGCTCTTAAAGATCCGCAGTATCCTTTGCTCCGTTATTGTTTAAAAGATATCCATGCCAAATTTCTATTTCTGAATTGTAATGATTCTCCTGTCGAACTTGCTCTGTCTCCCATAATTCCTCTCGATGTTTTAGTTGGGTGCTCTGGACTTCTGCCTAAAATATGGTGAGGTTTCGTAAATGCTTCTTCTCCTGCCAGAGGTGGTTGCGTTCCAGCCACGGATGAGGTGATCCCTGGGTGTGCTTTCAGAACCCTTTATTGTTGCTCTGTTACAGTAAAGAAAATGTATTCCAGGACTGCTGTACGGCAGCCGTACTGAAAAAGGAGGTGGTTGTGAGATACCTGTAACATAGCTTCTGTTTCGCAAAAGCCATTAATGATCAGTGAGGTTCTTCTGGTTTCTTCGAGGCCCTCTTGGCAGTGAATGGGAAATGGTACATTTATGATTCGGAGGGGTTTTATCTTCCTTGTTCCTTATATTAATTGGCACCAGCAAACATGGGGAGCATGGTGATATTTGGAAAATTAACATAAGTAGTGTTATTATGCAAATTTCTAAGAGCCAGTATTTCCTTAAAATAAAATGTAATTAAGCCTCTGCTCATTTAGCACATCCGAAATAATTAACTCCCATCTCCAGTTTTGTTGTGCTTGGCTTTGTGGGTTTTTTATTGACCTTTTTTTCTCTGCATCTTTTTTTCAGGACAACAGCAGAAGGGTAGAGAATATGTTAAAATTATGGATTATTGAAGCCAAGGACCTGCCAGCTAAGAAAAAGTACTTGTGTGAATTATGCCTGGATGACGTTCTTTATGCACGAACTACCTGTAAATTGAAAACTGATAATGTGTTTTGGGGGGAGCACTTTGAATTTAATAACCTCCCATCGCTCAAAAACATTACGGTGCACTTATACAAAGAGACTGACAAGAAGAAAAAGAAGGACAAGACCAATTTCATTGGACAAGTGAACATCCCCGTCAGCTCTGTCACGGGCCGGCAGTTTGTAGAGAAATGGTACCCAGTGGTCAGCCCCAACCCCGGTAAGGGCAAGTCCCCGGGGCCCATGATCCGCATCAAGTCACGCTACCAGAGTATGAGCATTCTTCCCATGGAGATGTACAAAGAGTTTGCCGAGTACATCACTAACAACTACATGGTGCTGTGCTCGGTGCTGGAGCCCTCGCTGAGCGTGAAGAACAAAGAGGAGATGGCGTCTGCGCTGGTGCACATCCTGCAGAGTACGGGCAAGGCCAAGGTAAGACCCTTCCTCATCCCTGCCATCCCACCAGAGACCGTCAGGAGCAGACTGCTGCGTTGGGTTTCGGAAATCACCACATCCGTTGGGTTCCAGGCCTTAGACATCATTAATACACTCTAATTTTGCTTTTAATTGCAAACAAGCTGGTAGCATGTGCAGTGCGAATTGCTTAATTAGCAAAGAGGTTGCTGGGACCACAAGATACCAACTGAGTCATTTTTCTCTCCTTCTGGAGGCTGAGGGGCCAGGCTCTTACTTTATAAACAGGCACAAATGTGAAAGTAAGCAGGAAGGCAGTTTTCGGGGATGAAATGTAAGCAATGCTGGCTTAAGCTAAGCAGCCTGCGTGCGCTGGGTATTCCTGCGGGAACCCAGCAGGTTCCCCGCTCCGCTCCCTCCCTGTCGCCGTGCCGCTGCGCTGAGCACCCAGCACCACGGGGGCCGAACGGGAGCGAGCAGCGTCTTGAGAATTTCGGAGCAAAGTCTGCCTGCGGGCACGCGTGTCTCTGAATCAGCTCTCAGTCTTTGGAGTCTGTCCTGATGCTTTTGGAAGGGAGCTGGTGGGGCGGGCACAGTGCGGGAAAGCCCAAGGGTCCTGGGGTGCTTCCAGGACAGCGCTCCTTGCAGAGGGTTGATGCCGGCCAACTTGCGAGCGGTGGAAGTTCAGTTTTTGCAGATCACTTTGTCTGAACATCCTTCATGGTTAGGAATCCCCCGCCAGGTCTGGGGAGGAAGCGGGTCAGGAGGAGGCAGAGAGTGGGATTTATTCCTGGTTGTGATCTGTGAGGGTAACAGGCAGGGGGAGCAGAGCTGGAAAGCCCGTACTGGAGAGCACAGGCGAGCGCCGAGGTCCCCGGTACGTGGGGCGTGGAGTTGCGTGACCCGTGTGCCGCAGAGCATCCTTCGTCCCCCGCTGGCACGGCACAGCCATGGCGGGCAGTGCCAGCGTCGGGAGTGCAGGAGTTAAAGCATCAGCATTTTCCTCTGTTGAGGTCTCCCTGAACTCTGCAGGGGGGAGCTGGGGCAGAGCAAGATTTCCAAATCTTTTCCAGCACTGAGGAGACATGAGCTCCGCACCTGAGGGGGAATTGCAAGGCTCTGCTTCCTCCGCAGCTGCCACTGCTGCCTGGGACCGTGGCAGGGTTTGTGGATTAGATTTAGTTGCCATCTGTCGAACAGAGAAGTGGCTTGGCCTCCTGATCTAGTTCAAGGCAGGCGAAGCTCACTGAGAGGATTGCAAGGTCGTGGGCCTGCTGTTGCAGAGGCAGAGCAAACAGCTCAGTTAAAGCCTTCCTGATCCCGGGCAGCAGCGTCAGACCCCAGGAGCGCATCCCCTCGGCTGCGGTACCCTCAGCGGGGACAGAAGCGGCTTGCGATTCACGGCGCGTGAAATAACGCGCTGTGGTTACGCAGGGAGAGCGTCATAGGTGTCCCCTCCTCGCTCCTTGTGCCGGGGTTTCGGTGCCGTCAGCGCGTGGTTTTTGGGCACAGCCCCGCTTTCTGCTGGCGCAGCTCCTCCCCGCGCACCGGGAGCTGTGCTGACCTTCGCTGCGGCTCTGATGGCACTAGTGCCAGGAATGACATTGCCATGACAGACCCTGTCCGTGGCTTACACGGACAGTGCTGGTGCCAAAGGCTTCAGGTGTCACCCTGATCTCAGCCCCCACGGATTGCGTGCGGGCATGGCTGAGAGCTGTTGTCACGGCTTCCGCCGTTTCCCTCTTCTCATCGGTACGGGAGAGGGTCCGGAGAGAGCAGGTGTGTATCTAGACGTGTCTGCATCAGTGCCCGAGATCCCAGAGGCTCTACGTGGGGGACACAGCAAACAGTAAACAGGCTTGATGAATTTCCCCCTAAAATGGAGCTTCTGCTTTCCCTGCCTGTCATCAGCCATCAGCATTAGCACAGGGTTTAGGGAGCTGTCGGAGCAACAGGAGTTATTGGAGCATGGGAGCCGGGTGGTGCATCCTTTGTAGAGGGGTTGGACAAGCAGAGAAAGGGAAAAGCAGCAGTGAGGTAAAAAAAACAATGAATGGGAGAGGAAAACACCCACTCACCCCTGCTTGTGTGACATGGGGGCACCACGACCTCGCCAGCAGACACGCCACGGAGAGCGGCAGGCTGGTGCCCGGGCTGTGCGGGGAGGCCGTGCTGCTGTTGCGGTCCCTGCCCTGCGCCGGGCAGCCCCTCTCAGCCCGCTCCAGGGAGAAGGACTGGACAGGATGGGTCCGAGCACTTAAAAAAGTCTGATTGCCGTGCTGCCTGCTCTCCCTCTCCCTCAGCATCAGCTGGCTGGCCCCTCGGCGTGGCGCTGAGCACCTCCCTGGAGTTTCAGAAACAGAAACAACAGTCTCCTCCTTTTTCTTCCCAGCCAGTCTGCAGGAGAAAAAGTTTGTTTCGTTTTTCTTTTGTTTGTAGGTAAGGTAGCTCTGTATGCGTTCGCTGGGGAAAGCATGCGCCTGCAGGCAGGTCTGGCTCTGAACCATGTCTGGTTTTGATGCTGAGGACGCGGTTCCTTCAGCCCAGACTCGCCCGGCACCGATCGCCTGCTCGTTCGGAGGCGTCACTGAGCAGGAAGGTAAAACACCCACGGCCTGAAGGAGGGCGCAGTGGGGTTGGAAATGGGGTTCAGAGCCTGGGAGGAGGAGAACAGAGCGGGCGGGGATGGGGCTGGGGAGCCGGCATGGGGGCTTGAGGCTGGGGGAGGTGGGGCTGAGGATCTCAGCCCGTTCTGGCGGCGGTGAGCACCCTGCTCCCTGCTCCCTGGGGTGCAGGGGCCATGGGGCGGCGTCCCCCTCCTCCAGCCTCTGT